ACTTTCTGTCTCTCTCTCTCTGTCTTTCTGGCTAGTGCACACGTCCTATAGCAAAAACTTCTCAAAAAATAAATAAATAAATAAATATAGTACTATTTGCTATTATTATATGTACTTAACACAGAGTTTCCGCTATATATAAGTAAAAGCACTGGGATGATTATTTAAATCTCCCTTACTCTCTACTCGCCATAGACATTGAAAGTGATTACAGATTTATCAAAAGCAAAGATGAAATTAGATACAAATATAGCTAAAAACTGAAGTTTATAAACCTCATTCAGAATTCACTTCATTATAAACTAACTGCAAAACGGATACTAACAGATCTATTCATTTTTACAGTAAGGCTTCTTAAATATACAACATCACTTAAAATCTTAAGTCTTTACTATTTCATTTTAACTAAGAGAGATGTCATTACAGGCATAATGTAAAATGGCGACATACTGATTGAAAGTGCTCTCTTGCTTCTAGTACTTTTCTGTTCATGATACCCAGTCTTTTAGGATAATCTTGATCATAGCTCGCTGGTCCTGGATTATCTGAAATAAACTTCTTAAAGCGTTTCTCCCGGTTTTGTAGACTATGGCCTCCTTTTATATTGTACTAAATTAGAGAGAAAAAAATCTTATGAAACAATAAAAAGAAATACTTTATAATTAATTATTACTTGGTAATATTTAATATTGTTATGAACAAACGGTTTAAAAATCCGACTTGAGAAAGTTAAGACCTTTGACTGAAGACATAGTTCTAGTAACGGAGGATAGTAAGAAATGATAGTTATACTTGTCAGTTTTCACTTCAAACTCAAACTAAAATTTACTGTACTTAGGGCACTCTAAGAGAAAGAAACAAAACTTGATTTTAGAATATAAACTGGAGACAGGAATTTCCAAAGCTGGAGAGAAATAAAGGATATATGTTTTGTAGTCCCCTGAAAAATCTGTACCTTTGAAAGGATCTTTTAGAAATGCTGGCATTCATATTACAGGTAAAAGCAAACATTCCAAGCTTGCTTAGGATTATTTATTTTCATGAGTAACATTTTGGTCATTCCCAGGGAAGTTTATGTAAGCTTACCAGCAAAACTTTGGTTTTATGGTTATATTAATTTCAAACATTGTTTACTGCACTGGAAAGAATCTTCTATGGTTCTCCATAATAAATATTTAGATTCTCCAGAATCAGGAAACTGTCAACTGACTAGCTGATTTAACTGCCAGTTAATTCAGATAAAATTCTGCCATCTACTTTCCTACAAATGGCTATAAGGCAATTATTCCAAAACTGATTCATAAGAGTGGCTGGCATTTGATTAACTAGCTAATTTTTTTTAAATATTGATTTATCAATAGTCCTTTCACATGTCAATTTTTCATAATCACAATTAACAGCGCCTACCTATTATTTGCATCTTATTCAGTTTTGTTCAGCCTTTAAGAATTATACAGGTGGGACCAGCAGTTAGCATAATGGCTATGTCGCTGGACTCCCATGTAGTCGACCACAGTTCACGTCCCAGACCCGGTGGCTTAAACTCACGCCAGGCGCATGTGTGTGTGCGTGCGTGCCCAAGATCCCAAGAGGAAAATGGAAGAGAAGGGATTGTGGTGTGGCCATCCCGCCTGAGGGGTGATTTCTCGCTTTCTGTCTCTCTGTCTCTGTCTGTCTGGCGAGCGCACGAGCCCTATAGCAAAAACCTCTCAAATAAAAGAAAAAAAAAGAATTATACAGGGACAGAACGGTAGTGCAGAAGTAAAATGCAATGCTCTCTAAACAAAAATAAATACACAATGGAGGTCTCTTTTTTTTTTTTTTTGAGAGGTTTTTATTGCTATAGGGCGTGAGCGCTTGCTAGAAAGACAGAGAGAGACAAAGAGACAGAAAGCAAGAAATCATCCCGCTGGGGGGGGTGGCCGCACCGCAATTCCTTCTCCTCCATTCTCCTCTCAGGATCTTGGGCACACATGCACACACTCCCGGAGTGAGTTTAAGCCGCCGGGATCTGGGACTCGAACAGTGGTTGATTACACAGGAGTCCAGTGACATAGCCATTACGTTAATTACTGGTCCCTTGGAGGTCTCCTTTTTAAAAGACAAGTCAAATTTCGTACAGCCCTGTAGTCTAGTGGTTAAGGGAAAAGGATCCCACATGACTTCCCACATAGTTCAAGTCCCAGACCCTATGCCTTGAGAAATATGCTGGACACATGTGTGTCTGTGTGTTCAAAATCCCAACAAGATTGAGAAATGGAGAAGAGATTGTGCCATGTCTACACTTCACTGAGGGGTGGTTTCTCCTTTTCCCTCTCTGTCTCTGGTGAGCACATATGCCCTGAAACAAATTTTAAAAAGAAAAAAAAAGATTCAAATTCTATTTTGACATGACCAATTCACTACTAGATTACTGGTTTTTTTTTTTGAGAGGTTTTTATTTTTTTGATACAGGGCACATGCGCTCGCCAGACAGACAGAGACAGAGAGATAGAAAGTGAGAAATCCCCCCCCGCCCAGGGGAGATGGCCACGCCGCAATCCCTTCTCCTCCATTCTCCTCTCAGGATTTTGGGCACGCACGCACACGTGCCCGGCGTGAGTTTAAGCCACCGGGTCAGGGACTTGAACCGCGGTCAACTACGTGGGAGTCCGGCGACATAGCCATTACACTAACTGCTGGTCCCTAGATTACTGTTTTAATAAGATCAGAATTACTAACTTTAAGGAGCTTAGGTCTATATAAAAATATATCTCAATTATTTATTTTGGAAAAAAAAATTAACATTACAAGTTGAACACAAAGTAAAATAATGGAAAAAGAGAAGACTATTTCAAATTTTGATTCTTTGAAAGCTATTACTTAGGCTCTAAGACCATGTAAGTCAATCTACAATTTGAATTTATATTGCATATTTCAACAAGGACCATACCTGGCCTCTTCGAGGCAATTTAAAGGTCTGTTGGGTTCAGCTAGACGCTGCTCTGTTTGAATGCAAAATTTATGTGAAAAGAACAAAAGAAGGTATTTATGACTATGAGAATACTGAAATTAGATCCACTATTTCTGAACCTGAATGGACCATTAAAGATATTCAAGTCACAGACTCTTCAGACTGTACTAAAATGGGAGACGGATGAGAGATAATGGCTATAGCTTTACAGTATGGCATACACACACGCACATACACACACACACACACAGTTCACTTTATTGCCATCCTTCTTATCCTTCTCCTATTTGTTTTCCTTTTTCCTTTTTTTTTTTTTTTTTTTTGCTAGAGGCTGTATCTGTATGTGCTTGCCAGAGAGGAGGAGAGTAGACAGCAATCCCATGGGAGAATGGTCATGCCGCAATCTCTTCTCTTTCCTCTCTCCCTTCTTTTGGGATTTTTTGGGGTATGCACACACAAGTGCCCAGTGTGTTTCTAAAGCCACTGGGTATGGGAATCTAACTGCACAGCTGGCCATGCTGAATCCTGCTGCCTTAAACACCAAGCCATGGAGCCAGCCTGCCATTCCTCTTCTGTAAACTTTGATCATGCACAACTTTCATGAGCCATCATTTATTCAAGAGTCCTGTTCTCACATTCCAAGAACCATGCATCATATAGCAATGTTTTCTGTCTTACAGAATATATAAAGAAAACCTAGTAAGGCAAACAACATTGAATGCACTCACCATTTTTCAAATTACAAAATACAGACTGAAAAGCATAAGGAAAAATTAAATATGGCAAGTGACAATTTAGTCCATTAGAGGAAATAACTTCATAAATTTACCTGTGCTTCTGAAACATTATAGTGTCCTGGACCTGGAGCCACTGTCTCTGTGGTAGAGGCAACAGTAAAAGCACTTTCTCTGGTTGCCGAAGAAAGAAACGGAGCAAAACCACCTATAAGGATAAAATCCTATCATTGGCACACAAGAGAGGTTTCCAAGGAGTTCAGAGAAAAAACACTCAAAATACACATAATTAATACCTTCAATTGTTGAGACTCTATTTTCAGAACTCATGGCTAGCCACAAAATTTATTACATTTAGAAAATTCTGATGTGAGATCAAATAATTAATATATATTAAATATAAGAACCTGTAGAACTGGAATTACTGAACAATAGAAATATATGCAAAATTAAAAAAAAAAAAGATAAAAGCCTTTTGGTTTCTAATCATATTTGGTTGGGATAAAAATGGCAGTTACAGGACCAGCCAGTGGTACTGCTGCTCTGTGATGGAGGACCCACTCAGGAAACCCTGCGTTCAGGTTCTAGCCCCCGTACACACTGGGCATGCATGCACATTCCTGTGGTCCAGGTTGGCCCAGGGTGGGGGCTGCATCGTGGCATAAAGACCCTGCTTAAAGTCTCTCTCTCTCTCTCTCTCTCTCTCTCTCACGGAAGAAATAAATATGCCTTTTTTAAAAATGTCAGTTATATTTGGGCTAATTTTCATCTTCATATGATCATTGCTTTATATTTTGAAATAGCACACACTATTTGCAGAGGATAGCATATGTAAATTTCTAGAAAGAAACTGAATATGGGTTTACAGGAGGTAAATAATACTATATCCTTGCCTTCCCACATACTTGGAACTTAGTAAATATTTCTTGATTGTATGACTTTAAACAAAGGTTTACAAATCCAAGAAACAAATTTCAAGCAATCATAATATCAAACAACATAGTCTACTTGAAGTCCGATTTTTTTTTAATTCAAGAACTGTACTGAGAAAATTAGTATAGTCTAAGCAACACAGATATTGAAGAAAAGATAGGAGAGAATAGAAGAGTCAACAAATAATAAAGGAATAAAAGTTAGGATTCATAACTTGTACACTAAAGAAAACTGCTGAGAACTGGTGACAATCAGTACAGTAAAAATCTTGCTGATCTGTACTAACAATAAAAGATACTCAGTTTAAAAACAGAAATAACTGTGTTTCTCTTAAGACCCATATGTATCAAAATGCAACTGAAATGAATAATTATTAATCTGGCAGCCAGGAATGCAGTGTAATGTAACTGAACCCATATGGGAAGGTGCCAGAATTGAATCAGGGCCTCTCTCCATACACTGGACACACACAAGGGCCCATAACCTGGGCTGGCAGAACCTGGAGTTGAATTGCAATGTGAAGACCTGTTAGAGGTTGTTTGTTTCTCTGTCTCTTTTAATCTTACTGAAGAAATGAATAAATAAAAACTTAGATTTTTAAGTTTTTTAAACTTAAAAAAAGTTTCAAAAAGTTTTTTTAAAAAATTGTGTTTGTTTTTGCAGCATGAAAGAGGTAATGAAAATAGACCTTACTCTTTTAAAAAATTCCTTGACCCGGTGGCTTAAAACTCACGCCGGGCACATGTGCATGCGTGCCCAAGATCCCGAGAGGAGAATGGAGGAGAAGGGATTGCGGCGTGACCATCCCCTCTGGGTGGTGATTTCTCGCTTTCTGTCTCTATGTCTCTCTCTGTCTTTCTGGCGAGCACACGCGCCCTATAGCAAAAACCTCTCCAAAAAAGAAAAAAAAATCCTCTTAAAAGACACAGAAGTTAAAAAATAAAAGTTAAAAAAAAAATGGTGGTTCCAGCAGGTGATGTGGAGATTAAGGCGGTCAGATCCCATATAAGACAGATTTTATAACAAGGAATACCAGGGATAACAGACAGATTTCATAGAGATAAAGGAGTCTGTTCATGTAAAGGATTTAACAACTTATAAAAAAATTAGCAAATAAGTGATTAGTTGCCAGCTCTATGGCCTGGTGGTTAAGGCAGCCAGATTCCACATGGCTGACCAAGAGATGGAGTCCCAGAGAAATGGGCAAGTGTACAGTTATACCCCAAAAGCCCAAAAGACGGGACAGATGGAGGAGGGATTCTTGGTTTGACAAGGGATTTGGGTATGGCATCATTCTCCATGAGGAGGAAAGTGCTTTGAGTGTACATACCTTCTCCAAAAAAAAAAAAATGTTTCATTTCAGTACATATATATGCCTTTCTGGTTAAGGGATAGCAAGGTCTGTGAGATACACAGGATTACAAAAAAAAAAAAAAGACAGCTGGAGGTTAGAAATACAGAATTAGGGCTGCAGGTGGTACGGTGTCTAGGATGCTGGACTCCCACAGGGGAGGCAGTTTGAGTCCCAAACCTGGCAGCTTACTTTCTCACTTTCCCTCTCTGGTCAAATTAAAAAATAACAAATTTAAAAATTAAGTATTTCTTTATAAGAAGTACACAGGATTTGGAGACTCACATAAACAGAGTCAAGAAATCAAAACTCTAAATCTAAACTGCACATTCAAAAATATGATGTAAGGGGGCTAGCATGTGGCATAAGGGTTAGAGTGCTGGGCTCTGCGACCGGGCCCACTTAAAACTGTCGCCAGGGCTGTGTGTATATATGTGTGTGTCCGAAATTCTGAGAATGGAGAAGGGATTGTAGGGTGGCCGTGGCGGGGTGGGGGTGAATTTCCTGTTTTCTGTCTATCTCTGTCTTTCCAGGGAGCTCACTTGACCAATAGCAAAAATCTCTCAAAAATAAATAAATAAACAAATAAAATTATATGACATAGGGCCAGCAGGTGGTGTGGTGGTTGAGACACTTGATTCTCACAAGGCCGACCAGTGTATGAGTCCTGGACCTTGCCACTTGAAAATCACAACAAATTAAATAGATTAAGTAAATAAACGCATATTTTAAAAATATGATGTGAAGTGGCTATATCTTAAGATTTGATTACTGTCCCTCATATGCATGCCTTTAAAAACGACAGTGCAGTCCACAAAGATATATACTGATTACATGTAAACCAGCCATCATGAAATTTAAAAATAAAAAACTTTAAAGTCTGATGCAGACAACCGTCGCAGCGTCAGCAGCCCCGCTTGGACCAGCTCGGAATGCCAGGCGAGGGCCGAGCCCTCCCGCGCCCTCCGGGCCTCCTTGGGCCTCC